TCAGAACTAAAAAATCAGAAATAAAAATCAGAATTCTAAAATCAGAATAAAAATCAGAAGTAAAAATCAGAATTAAAAATTAGAATTTTAAAAATCAGAATTAAACAAATCAAAATTTAAAAATCAGAATTATAAAATCAGAATAAAGAATCAGAATTAAAAAATAAGAATTTAAAAAACCAGAATAAAACTCAGAATAAAAATCAGAATTTTAATTTTTTTTAATTTTATCAGAATTTTAAAATCAAAATTAAAAATCAGAAACAAAATCATAATTTAAAAAATAAAAATAAAAACCAGAATAAAGATCAGAACTTTGAAATCAGAATTTTAAATTAGAAGTAAAAAATCAGGAGTAAAAATCAGAAATGAAAAATCAGAATTTCAACATCAGAAATTTATAAAATCAAAACTAAAAAATCAGAATAAAATAGAATTATGAAAATAATAATTATAAAATCAGAATAAAGAATCGGAATTAAAAAATCAGAATCAAAAAATCAGAATCAAAAAATCAGAATAAGAACCAAAATAAAAATCAGAATTTAAAAAATCAGAATTTTAAAATCAGAATAATTTTAATAAAAAATTTAAAAGATCAGAATTTCTAAAAATAAATCAGAATATTTTATTTAAAGAAATTGGTGTGATTAATTGAACAGACACACAATATTTTTATTTAAAGTTTGGAAGAAAAAAAATATTTTTATAAAAGTATTTATTTTAATTGCATCTGTGTTTAGGGCAATTGTTTGAAATAATAAATATTATCTTTAAAAATGAACAGCTGTATTTAGAAAATTTATAAAAACATTCCAATATGTATATTGTGGAGGTGGTGGGGGGGGGGGGGGGGAGGGGGGGGGGGAGGGTTGGAATTAAAAAGGAGGGGGTTTCTTCGTAGTAAAAGGAAATAAAAAAATTAAAAATTTCTAGAATAAATTTTTACAAGAAATTTCCACAATGTCCCATAGATTTCAAACAATTTTTCTGGTCCATAGAGGTTAAAGAAAATCAGAAAAATAGAGGCTTCACAACATTTTCTAGCGAATAGGAATCAGAAATAACTAGAAAAATCGGAAATCGAAAATTCTGAGAAAATAAAAAATAAAATCCGAATTCTCGATATACATAATTCTGCCAGAAATATTTTTTACTTTATTTATGCCTATTACTACATATAATACTAATTCTTATACATAAAGTTAATAATTTTAGTCAAGCATTAATTAATTAATCATCATAAATCTCTTAAAATAAATATTTTAATCTTTCATGCAAGGTTGATCTATATATATTAATAATTACAACACCTGTGCAAAATTTTTATTTATAAATTTACTAAAGTTTGATCAACAATAAAGGGTAGAGGGAAGCCTCTACCCTTTGTGATGATCAAACTAGTAAATTTATAAAAGATCATCATTAAAAAAAGGAATTTAAACTTTCAACGATATTTGTGGAAAAATCTAAAAAATATTGAAATTGGAATAACGGCTACATCCAAAAAATTGGAAATTCATAAAAATAATAATGAAAAAGAATTTTCTTAAATTCAAAGAAAAACATCGTTCAAGGAGCTCTTTAAACACATTAATGTTCTGGTAGTTTTAAAAAGCTTATCTCACAGAACAATTAAAATTAAACTTTTTCAGAAAATCAGAAAAAAAACTTTTTTAAGCTTCCAAGTTTTATAAACACAAACTTATTCTGATTTATTTAATAAACTTGATTTAGTGTGAAAATAAACTTGACAACAAAAATAAACTTTTTTAAAATAAATTTTTTACAGCTTAGTAAACACAGTGTTGTTCTGGTTGTTTAGAAAAGCTCGTATTTAGACACCCCAATAAAAAATATTTAAAAATAGGGAACTAATTTAATTAAAAAAATCTCCTAAAATTTAAGTAAATAAATATAAATTTAAAATCGTAAAAAGTGTTCGTAACGGTAATAAATTACTTACACCAAAATGTGTTAAAATAAAAAAATTTTCAAGCAAGAAAATGTGCGCCAAGGGGGATATATTATTTTTTTAATTAAATTTTCTTTTAGAAAATTTAATTAAAAAATAAAAAAAAAGAAAAAAATGGATGAACGAATGACTGGTTTTTAAAGGGATTAAATAAATAAATTTGTTGTTTGGTTATGGCATTTTTTGTTGGGATGTTTTGAGACATTTTTGAGAGAGAGGGTAATGTTTCGTGGTTCGTTTCTCCTTAGATTTTAAGAAGTAAAAAATGTGTGGATTTTTTGTGAAATTTGAAACTTTCTTTAAGAGGGCAATGTGTTTGACGAATTTTTTGATGGCCAAAAAAATGGGTGGAATGAGCAATTTTGACTGATGGATAGTCATATAGATGAGTGAAATAAAAAGACAGACAAAAAAATTGTTTTGTCAAACAGTTTAAAAGAAAAACAAAAAAATTAGCTAATTTAAACAATGTTTTATTATTTTTTCTGGTAGCTTAGAAAGCCTCTCTAGAGACAAATGGGGGGGGGTATTACTCGATTAACTGTCCTCCCTCAAATAATTGCCCTTACTTACCTTATAACACTTCACATTTCAAAACTCAAATAAAAGCTCTTTAGTTACTCGATAGGTGGCTTTATTCGAGCCCCTTACCTACTCGATGAATTAACCCCTTTCGGCGAAATGTAGAAAATGGTACATAATTACCCAGGGTGGTTATTCAAGAAATTGAGTAAATACCGTATTCAAACCACTAGTTCAGAACCTCCCTCTGTTAACGACAAACACGAAATCGAGAATCTCTCTTAACAGGAATTATACATAAAATGTTCAGATATACATAGCTCCCAATGAAATTTTAATTGAAATTATAAACCACTCACTATAATATGGCAATTTTTAATTTAAAAAAATATTTTCTTAATTAAAAAAATTTTATAGTAAATTAACAAATAAGCAGCAGGGATTTTCCAACATAAAAACTAAATTTCCGTTTTTCAGGAATCGGATTCCCGGCCCAAAAAATGTCGAAGATTCACAGTTTCCGGAAATCAATACGTCAAAATACCTCCTACCTTAATAATAAATAATAGGGAGACAAAAACATCAAAATACCCTAAAAATAATTTTCAAAGCCAAATAAATAGTCATTTGTCAGATTTAATGACAAGCAGTTAACTACTCAAAACTTTTTTGTGGACAACTTTTCCTCATTATTTATTAAAAACAAAAATCTCAAAACAAAAAAAAGAAACTGAGAACAAACAAAGAAAGCATTTGTTTTTGCGTATTTGCAACGCCTCCGGGCGCTAACATTGATTGGCCTTTTAGAAATGCCATTTTCCTTTATTTCTTTTTTTGGGGGAAAGACCACAAAATTGGCCCTCATTTGCAGTCCGTTTTATATTTTTAACATTGGGTGGTCGCCCTAATTTTTGGGGGGAGAAGAGAGGAAAGGATTGGAGAAGGTTGGGGTAACTAGGGCATAAATACAAGGGAGAGTAAATGATGATGAGGATATATGTAAGTAAATTATGTATGTAAGTCATTAACCCAAAAGAATTTTCTTGGAAAATTTTTCTTAGAAAATTTTTAAAAAAATTTTTTCCAGAAAAAATTTTTTTAAAAGAAATTGAAAAAAAAGGAAAAAAAAATTAATTTTGTTTATTGTTTTTTTTTAAATTTTTCCTAGGTTAAATTGGATAAAATTTGATTAAGTTTACAAATTTTATTCAAGAATTTAATGAAAAAATAAATAAACCTTGGCCGAAAAGAACGCTTAAAAAAGGCATTAATTTTCTTAGAAAAATAGAATGAGGTAAAATTTAAAAAATAGAAAGGCATGAAAGATGAATGGATCCTGCAGAAATTTCAGGATATTTGGTTCCGATATAAAAGTTTTGAACATATGGATGAGTCAATCCTAGTTCTGAAACCTTTGGATATCCTATAAAATATGCAAGGGAAAGTCCAGCTAATTAGCATTAAAACGCTCAGGCAGGAATTTAAAATAAAAAAAGCAAAAGTCATCGCCTGTTCAACATGTGAATGTGGTGAGAGAGTATAACACCAAGTACTGTCAAAGAAGAAGGAGGTTCAACTCTTGCCCGGTAGCCGATAAACTCCCTACTACCATTATTAAGAATCAGAAAATGTGAATTAAAATCAACTCAAGAAGAACTTAAGCTCGTCCGAAATCGTCCCAGATGAATGTGGTGAGCGAGTATAGCACCAAGTACTGTCAATGAATGATGCCAGGTTCAACTACTGCGCAGTAGCCTATAAACTCCCTCCTAACATTACCCAGAATCAGAGGACCATTAAAAATCAACTCAAAAAGAGGATACTTAAATTCATTCGAACCGTCCTAAATCACACACAGCCAATACCTCAAGGAGATTTTAAAAATTAAAGCAAAAAAGAGACTTATTAAACTTTATTATTTTCCTTCCAATTATTATTAAATTATAAAACGAAAAAATGAAAGAAATTATTTTTTAAATGTTTCTCAAAAAGTTTTGTGAGAAAAAAAAGTTTGTTAAAAAATATATGGGGATTATTTTATTTATTTTGAATGCAAAATAATATATATTTTTTAAAAAATATACTAGATTATAAAAAAATTTCCTGGCAGAACCTTTGTTGAGAAAATATTTTTAGAAATTAAAACAAAAATTTAGCCAAACCAAAAAAAGGATTCAAATAAAGTTTATCATTTAATTATACTAATCGACATTCTCCCAGCTTTAAGTTTAAGTATTTTACCTAATATATTCTAGTAGAATGGCACCCCCATTAGAATGACCACCTACAATAAAATGACCATCCTTTAATCCTTTAAACAAAAATTTTTTAATATCAATTTCCCATAAAGTCTGCCAGGAAAAGCCAAAAATTAGGCAAAAATATAAATATAAAATTGGATAAAGGAAGGATTATATAAAAACTAAAATATATATATTTTTGTTTCTTTGACTATTAACTTTCAACACAAATTTATTTAAATTCTCTGTTTTTGTCCAATCATTTAATGCCTTTGTTGTTCACTTAAATTTATAGCCCCACACCTACAATTTTGTCTAATTTTTTGAAATTCGTCCTTAAGCTCGGCATTCTGGCCTTTCAATTCTTGTATCAAAACTGCCTGTTCACGCGTCTGAAAAATAATAAAATTAGAAAAATTTTTGAGAAATTTTGTGATTATTAAAGGTGAAATATTTAAAAATAAAATTTCATTTATTGCACGAAAATTAAATCCCCCTCCCCATCCTGAAACGGAGAAAAAAAAAGAAAAAAAGAGAATTATCGGAAATGAAAAATTTTTAGCATATGGTGCAAAATATAAGAATTCAGGTTCACTAGGCTTTAGGAAAATATAGATGTCCTTTTTATTAGTTCAAAACAAATAAACAATCCTTGACAAGAAAAGTCATTCAGGAATAAACTCACTAAACCAACACTAATCAAAAAACAATTTTCAAAAGAACGCATTCACAGCAAAATATGGGTAAACCCAATGTACCACGAGCTTAATGTACTGCAGAGCTTAACCTCGTTTGGTTGAATCCAGACGCCCTAGTATGGTTCGATTCAGCTCGTAAAGACGCATCGAACCAAACCAAAGCGTCCCGAATCCTATCAATTTTAAAGAAGGTATAGCTCTGCGGTACATTGGCATGCTCCCATAAAATATATCCCCTTTCCTCCACCATCTATCCGATATATTTAATAAAATAAACCTCATGTTCCAGAAATAGAAGCCTGTGCTCCTTTGCCATTTGTTGTTGTCTTGCCTTGTCTCTACTACGACGCACAGCATCGTTATTCTAAAAAAAGGAATTTATTTAAAAATATTCACAAAAATAAGAAAAACAACCTTTAAACGTTTAAGTCTATACATTGGATTAGACTTTTCTTTATCTGATTTAATCCGATATTTTCGTGGAGTTCCGGAATGTGATGCTGAAAGTACTGAAGTAAAAACGCTACTGGCAACGCTTGAAGCACGTGAGGAAGAAGAACCAAAAACTTGAGAAACGTTGACATTATCCTGAAAATTAGTAAATTAAAAAATTTTTTTTGTGTAAAGGTTTAAGATCGATTTTGAAGGTTTAAAACGTCTAAAGATTTTTTAAAATCATCCTATTTGTTAATTTGCACGATTTTCAGAAAAATGCGGACAGAATTTGCGGACAAAATTAGTAACGGATAATCATCGAAGCCATTAATTAATCTTTTTAATAGCTTAATTCGTTAGTCCAGAAAACGTCAAATAAAGAGGAAAAGGAATTTAAAATCCTGAGAAGGTGGCCGAGAAAGTAAAAAAATGACACCGAATACTCATGAAAAAGGCAATTAAGCCTGGAAACCCCGAAAATCTATCCTAAACCCTTTAACCAAAAAATAAAAATTTACTTGTTCTAACGGCTCATCCTTGAAAGGCTCCTCTTTTACAACCGGCACACGAAGAAGCTTTTGCATTGAAGCATTGGAAGTACTCGGAACCAAACTAGAAGTGTTTGGAGGTTCCAAAAGTCTCCTCCTCACTTCCTCTTCTTCCTCATCTCGAACAGGCCCGCCCGCTTCCAATCTCGGGCCAATACCAGCTTCTCCAAAGCAGGAAGAAGGTACAGAGGCTGTCACAAATTCATTGGGCCCGAAATCTGAAGAAAGATAAATATCAATTAAATCATCAGGGCTATCTAATAAAAGCCCCAAACCATTTCTTTGTTGTAAATGTTGATTAGCAAACATCATTTGATCGTATTGATATTGTGCATAAAGAGCTTCAGCCTTCTGTTTTTGAATTTCGTCGTCTTCTAATCTCGGGCCAGATTCTTCTAGAGGTGAAGATCCGTCATTGATAAAGTTTAGCTGTAAAATAGATTGAATTTTAGAGTTAAAAACCATTATTGGAACGAATTTTCATAAAAATAGGAAAAATGTCATCCCCTAAAGATAAGACCTAATCCCTAAAAATAAATCAGAGCAGCAGGGAGGACCCCAAGAAATGTCATGTTACCCAGAAGTCCCCAAAAAGCCCACCCAACATCTCCTAAAAATCCTAACGTATCACACCACACCTAAAAAACCTTCGGTCTTAAAATAACTGAGGGGGTAACAACTACAACAGCTCGAAATTCCTATGTTGTCCCATAAGCAAGAAATCGGAATTTTTAAAAACCTAGGCCTGTTCCTGGCTTTGATTTATTGATCTGGGCCAAATCCTGGGTCTGTAGGCCTGGACTCTGGGTACAGGAAAAACCCAAGCCTTGGTCCAGACTCAGGCCGATTTCTACCACAAACCCATTCCAGAATTAAAAAACATCTTACCAAATTAAAGTGTTCATTATCAAATTCATCGAGATTAATAGTTTCGAGATTAATTGTCTGTTCTGTCTGCCAAGAATGTGCTCCACTATTATTTGTTAAAAAATTTCCAGCATTTTGGATCGGAGTTCCGTCAATATTGCAAATTGTCAAATTATTTGGAGGTATTGTAGCCATTCTTTGATGATTAGAATAAGAATGTGACATGTGAGATTTTGTTTATTATAACACTAAAATTGAAGGTAAAGCAAAGTATTTTGTTTAAAAAATGATGATTATTTAGAGGGAATAAACTACAAAAAGCGGGAAATTGATAAAGAAGAGTGGCATAAACAAAAAAAATATAGGGAAAAAATTCTCGAAGGAAGGGTAACTTCAATTACGTGGACTATAAAAGGAAATGACTATACGTGTAGTTAAAAAAAGTGTCCACAAACCATAGAACTTGTGAATGAATCATCAACAAAAAACAACAAACCTTCTTTGTCTATGTGGTCTTTGTCGTTGACTAAAAGAGAGAGAAAAGTTTAGGAAAAGTAGGGAGAAGTTAAAATAAAGACTAAAAACAAGGAAAGAGAGAGAGAAATACTGTCGGATTCCGTGGCAGGTCAAAACGCCGTCCGAACACAATACCGTCCTCCCAGTAGAGTAAAAATTACCGTCCAATGAGTTTAGAGAGAAAATTGTCAAATTATTTGGACCAAGTCGGAGTTATAGTACTAACCAAGACTTAATAGCTGGAGGGTCTAAAGATATTTAGATAACATAATATCGACATAAATCGAATTCATTCTCCTTAAAAAGCGACTCTAATGTCCAGTCGGTTTTTTGTTCGGACGGTGTTTTGTCCCACAGTCGGCAATCCACCATTATTTTCTTTTTAACTTTGTCCCTTTAAGTTTAGAGAAAAATAAAATAAAAAATAAAAGGCAATAGAAAATAACAAAGAAAAGAAGAAAGAAAAAAGAGTTCAGTCAACGATTTCGAAATTAAATCCACAAAAAAAAATAAAGTTTACTTGGTGCCAGCCAGTAGGATAGTACGAAAACAAGAGAGATTTTGGAGAGAGAAACAAAGGCTCCTATACAACTCATCTAATCGTTAACTCATCTACTCGTTAACTCATCTACACGGCCAAAAAGAGTTAACTCATCTAATCGTTAACTCATCTAATCCTTAACTCATCTACACGGCCAAAAAGGGTTAACTCATCTAATCGTTAACTCATCTAATCCTTAACTCATCTACACGGCCAAAAAGTGTCAACTCATCCAATCCTTCGGAACGAGACTATTGAGTACCGGCCGTTTGAGTCCATGGCCAGTAGAGTACCGCCGGTTGAGACTCAACTGGTCATGGACTCAACTGGCCATGGAATCAACTGGTCATGGACTCAACTGGCCATGGACTCAACTGGCCATGGACTCAACTGGTCATGGACTCAACTGGCCATGGAATCAACTGGTCATGGACTCAACTTACCAGAGACTCAGACGGCCAGAGACTCAGACGGCCAGAGACTCAGACGGCCAGAGACTCAAACGGCCAGAGACTCAAACGGCCAGAGACTCAGACGGCCGGAGACTCAGACGGCCAAAGACTCAAACGGCCGGTACTCAATAGTCTCGTTCCGAAGGATTGGATGAGTTGACCCTTTTTGGCCGTGTAGATGAGTTAAGGATTAGATGAGTTAACGATTAGATGAGTTAACCCTTTTTGGCCGTGTAGATGAGTTAACGATTAGATGAGTTAACGATTAGATGAGTTTACCCTTTTTGGCCGTGTAGATGAGTTAAGGAATTTTAGCCGTTTAGATGAGTTGAACGTTTTTGGCCGTGTAGATGAGTTAACGAGTAGATGAGTTAACCGGACACGGAAACAAAACGGAATAAAAATAAACAGAACGCCAAGGAGGAAAATAAAGCAATTTTTAAACAAAATAAAATCAAAAGAGCACGATTGCGCGCACTTATTCGACCGTAACTTTTTGTAGGATGATCCGATCAAATCGGTCCTGTTAGCTAAAATAATCCTCACATTCAGGGCTTTCGATTGATATAAAAATTATTTAAATCGGTTAAGAATCAAAAAAGTTATGGCTAAAAATATGGCCTCGAGACGGCTAAAAATCACGATTGCGCGCACTTATTCAGCTGTAACTTTTTGTAGGATGATCTGACCAAATCAGTCCTGTTAGATAAAATAATCCTCACATACAGAGCTTTCGTTTGATATAATAATTATTTAAATCGGTAAAGAATCAAAAAAGTTATAACCCAAAATATGGCCTTGAGACTGATTCGGAGATACCTAGGGAAAGGTTTTTTGAGGTCTAAAATTTTTTTTAATTTTTAAAAAGTGCATTTAAAATATTTAAAAAGTCCTTTTAAATAAAGACTGATAAATAATAAAAAAAATTCGAAAAGTGCAAATTTTGTGAGAAAGGTCATTTAAATAAAAAGAATGGCGCGCCTTTTTGTTTGTAGTTTTTCTCGGATGTGAATGAATCACCCCTAGTCTTTATTATTACGAGCGTTAGGACGCGCTTCGCGCGTCCTAACGCTCGTATAATACCTTGTAATTCTTCCTAGATCAACCTCACACTTTGACTGACTCGAATCCCCAACTTCTCACTTGTTATGGACTCTTCTCATCAATTGTGGGAAGAGTCTCTTGCTCAAGCCGAAATCCCTAATATTACCATTTATTCCCAAATCATTTGATATTCTCTTAATCAACACCAAAATCGCAGAAGCACCCTTTAGCCTCCAACTCATGTGAAATCGCTCTTAATCACACTCAAATCATAGATAGACTACCATTCTCTTAATCACCGCTCTTTATCACCGCCAATTAATCACACTCAATTCTCTAATATGCCTCATAAACACCCCAAAATCCGAGAATCACCCATTAGACTCTAATCTTATGAAATATCTCTTAATCACACATCACAGCTATCACCTTTTATCTTCAAAAATCTGCAATTCCCTCTTAACCATCGTCCTGTTAATCCCCTCCCTAATGTTCTGATATCTCTCACAACCATCCCACAAAACACAGATATCACCATTTACCCCAAAAACTCAGATATTTCTCTTTAGGCCCCAAAACATCGATATTTCTACTTTGCGCCCCAAAATCTCAGATATTACCCTTTAGCCCCGTATCGTCTGATATCCCTCTTAATCACCCCAAATCCCCTGATATATCACCATACGTAATCTCTTTTCGTATTCCACAGGTATCACCCTGTATCTCACAAAGCCTAGATATTAACCAAAAGTCCCCAAATCCTCTGTCATCCCTCTTAATCAACCCAAATCCTAAATATCACCCTTTTTCACCGCAATTATTTTTCTCCAAATCATCTGTTATCTCACTTAAACACCCCCAAATCTCATACATCACCCTTTGCCAACCCTCCAGTTAAGCTACTACAACCAGTGCTGGGTATGGCTCCGGGAGCTAGCTCCGGAGCCCGGCTCCGGAGCCGGCTCCGGCGGAGCTGGAGCCGGAGCCGGAGCTAAGATTTTGAAAACCCCGGAGCCGGAGCTGGAGCCGGAGCCAAGAATTTCAAACCCCGGAGCCCGGAGCCGGAGCCAAGGTTTTCCAATTCCCCACGGCTCCGGCTATACACCCCTAAAGATGGGTTAGAGAAAAAGAAGTAAGCAAAGATGGTAGGCGAGAAAAGAAAAGGAAGAGAAAATTGAGACGGGTAAAAAAGATTTTCTTTCCTTTCCTTTGTAAATTAGTTGTGGTTGAATGGATAGTGAGTTAGGTTCCGAGTTTTATCCGGTTATAGGTTCGAAAAATATTACAAAAAATGATTAAATAATTGTTTTTCTTTGGAAAATGAATTATAATAAGTATTTTTTAAATAAATACAGCTGATAAATTTTTTAAATTGATTAATTTTAGTCTCCTGTGAGTCAAATTTTTCAAAATTTTCGCCTGCGGCGCAAAAAAGGAAGATTTTTGGCTTAAGGATCTTCCAAAATTCTCAAAATTTTCGCCTGCGGCGCAAAAAAGGAAGATTTTTGGCTTAAGGATCTTCCAAAATTTTCAAAATTTTCGCCTACGGCGCAAAAAGCAAGAGATAATGAGAGGATAAATCCAACATCTCCTATTCGCCCAACTTCCAGACAACCCAAATCCGCTTAATCCAGCTTAATTCCCCGATATCGCCCTTAATGCACACGATAATCCACCCAAATCCCACTTAATCCATTGATACTCCTCTTAATCCTCTGATATCACTCGATATTCCCCTTTATCTACCCAAATCCCCCAATCAAAAATAATTAATTGATTTTCCAGCCGGAGCCAACATGGAGCGGCTCCGAAAATCGCCGGCTCCGGAGCCGGAGCTGGAGCCGGAGCCAAGATTTTAAAAGGTCGGAGCCCGGAGCCGGAGCCGGAGCCAAGATTTTGAAAACCCGGAGCCCGGAGCCGGAGCCGGAGCCAAGATTTTCAAACCCCGGAGCCCGGAGCCGGAGCCGGAGCCAACAAATGGCAAATACCCAGCACTGACTACAACCCTCACATTTAATTCGCCATATCCACGATATCTCGCTTCATTCCTCTGATATAGGTCTTTAATCAACTCCCCCACCTCTCAACGCGCTAAATCATTTTTACTATCACGCATTATCTGCTATACCGCTTAATCTCTCCCAAAGCCTCCGCTTCACTAATCCCCTCAAATCACAAAATATGCCTGTTAATTACCTCTCCGAAACCGCTATTTACACAAATTTCACTTTTCAAACGTTATTTTCGTAGAAAATACACTTTTTCCCTGAAAACATTTGATATTACCCTTTATCCTGAAACCCCTAATATCTCTGAGACAAAAAGCACTCACTCTTAATCCTCTGTTATTCTTCTTTATCCCCTTTTATCGGAAAACGCATTTTATTCTCCAAAATACAAATATCGCCCATTATCCTCCCAAAACACCCAAAACTCTTTGTCTCCCAAATCCTTCTATATCACCTTTTAACCCGAAAATCCGCGATATCCCACCTATTTATCCCAAATCCACCTAAATCACTCAACATATCCCCAACTACCTATTTTTATCCCTAATTCAACGATATCTTCCTTAATTCTTTGATATACACGCAACCATAAATACACTTTAATCTTATAATTATATAAGATTAAAGATATCCTTTAATATATTTTTATTTTGAATTTTATTTTTAAATACATTATTATTCCTCGATATCCTTCCAGTTAAACTAATCTAACCCTCACATTTAATTTGCCCAAACTCACGATATATCCCTTTATTCATAAAATACCCGATATCCCTCTTAATCATACCAAATCCTGGATATCCCTCTTAATGACCAAATCTTTCTCACATTTCTCGTAATCTTTCCAATACTCCCCTTATTTGCCTCTTAATCCCTTAGTCTCCAATGATTATGTTCCAAAGGCTTTCACTCATTTTTCTTATTTTTGTGTTGCGTAGCACTATAATCCACGAAAGCCTTCTTTATTACCCTAATCCACGATATCTTTATTATCCTTTGATACTAATATTTCCCAATATCCCCAAAATCATATCTTAATCTACATCCCTCATTATCAATATTAAGCCCACAAAACTATTGATATTCCTCAATCACACATCAGAGACACTTACAATCACTGATAGCTGTTCTTGTATTTCCTAAATACATATTAATATACCCCAAATACTCAAAATCTCGTATAGCTCCCCAATATCCGTCTTAATGTTCGAAATTCCCAAAATCCCTTCATTAAATCCGTATTTATCATGTTTGTAACTAAAAAATCCCCTATATATCCCACTTTATATCTCAAATCCTCCATATCTGCACAGAACTTATGTTTTTAATATAAAACCCCCGATATCAATTCTAAGTACCGATATTCTCTTTAACACCCCCACTCGTAAGTTCCCAAAATAGTCTGTATCTTTATTAACTCTTTTTATTTCTCACGCTTTTTTCTTCCAATCTCTGATATCCCTATTAATTCTCAAAAACCGCCATACATTTGCTCAAGTCGCAATATTCCCTTAATTTCCCACAATCCACGATACCACTTTATCACTCACTCTTACCATCTACGCGGAATTTCGTTCCGTACCGTATTCCGTACCGTACTACCGTTACGGAATACCGATAAAATACGGCCGTAGTACGGAATGCGGCCCGTATTACGGCAAGAATTTTACCGTACCGTATTCCGTACCGTACTACCGATACGGAATACCGATAAATACCGAAAAATACGGCCGTAGTACGGTACGGTCCGCGCTCTAATCTTAATACGCAAATCCCCGATATTCTTTGCAAACCTCAAACTCCATACATCAATCTACATTAACTATCCCAAATCACTGTTCACCTCTGATATACACTTAATCCCCTACAAATTTACCGTTAACTTTATTATCCTAATTCACCTTCGTCTCTTCAAATACTTAGTATTCAATTAATCACCAAACACCCTTTAATAATTTTTAATTTTATTTTTTTAATCCTAAAATCCTCAATATCCCTATTTGGCTCTAATAGTTTGGCTCTTATAGTGCTTCATGTTTGCGTCTAAAAGGCTGCGATTTATTTTTAAAATTACTGCTTGCGAATAAAAGGCAGACGGCTGGTAACTGCCGCGTCTAAATGGCAGATGGCTGGTTGTTTTTGTTTACACTTAACTTTTTCATTAAAAATTAGAGAAAAACAAATTTTTCTCTCTTATTTTTTAAAAAGAAAATTTTTCGTGTCAAAACAAATTCTGTTTTTCTTTTCAAAAAACGGCAAAAAGCGTGACGGAAAGTGTGAAATTATATAGTTAATTAAAAGAAAATTCCCCCTATAGAAGAACACGTGACTAATCAGAAAAAAGGGGAAAATACTTTGGGAAGATGACATTTAAATTAATAATTGACTGAAAGTGCCGATAATTTAAAAGGGCATTGTACTTTTTAAAAAATTTTTTTAACATTTAAACGAGGAAGAGGATTTTTAATGGTAAATTAAAATATTAAATTGAATATTACATCATATAATTTAATTTAAATGTAACTGTTTGTCTTATTATTAGAGAGGCACTCTCTAATTGAACGAGGCCCTCTAATAAACGCGATATTTAGGTGTTTTTGGAAGGGTCGTGGATTTTGGAAGGCTCTCACTACGCAAAAAATGCAGGAAAAGGAAAGAAAAAAGCGGATTCTCTTGCCCCGTTGATACCGCAGCGTTTAAAAGGGTCAAGGTTTATAAAGCTGGGACAGAGAAAAGTCTCGAGGGTATTAGCATTGTAAGTTAAGGAAATAATTAATGAAGAATTGTTGAAGCTTGTTTATGGAATTAATAAATATAATTAATGAATAATATAAAGGAGGGCATTGTAGGCGAAAAGAAAGTGGTTTTAGAATGACACTTATACCATTGTTCTTCCAATAGAATGCCATGGCATTCTATTTTTCAATCTCTTTCAAAGAGGTATTATATGGTGGGATTCAATAGAGGGAGTCATAGGAATTACGGTAGATATATCTATTATCGAAAAATGCTAACGGTGCCTTTAGAGTGTTGATTAGAGAGGTTCAGATTTTAATAAACTCCATGGCTTGATAAGCAAATGATTTTAAAATTAGTTAGAGAATGTTAATTTGAGAATTGAGAATGTTAATCTGAGGATGCCTTTCATTCTACAAACCCTCAAGTTGACTTGAGAATGAAGGGCAATTAAAGGTAAAATGAAAGCTAGCAAAGAAGTGTTCATATATGCGTTAATTATAATTAAAGAGTATTTGGGAGGTCGATAAAAAAAATTTTTTCTCGTGGAATTTTAAATTGATTTGAACAGTAAAGAGGTATGTGGATAAATATTTAAATTATTGTTTAAATTAAAGAAAAAAAATATTTGGGGGGGGGGGAGGTTTAGAATAAAATTAGTTTCAATTTTTTAGAGGGAGAGGGATTGTTGTTGTTATTCTCTCCCCATTTTTCTTCAAAAAAATGTAAAACCATAAAAGAGGAATGTCTAAAATTTATTTTATATTTTTTTTATTTTTAATGCTTGTATAGAGTGAATCGATCGAGAATTTTATTTTTATTTGGACATTCGATTTTTATTTTTTTTATTTTCCTCTTTTTAGAGAAGGGCACCGACTAATTTTTTTCTTACCGACAAATGCACTTTTGTGCTGTAAAAAATTTAGTAGTTTGTGGGGGGGGGGGGATGTGGAGGGACCGGGTAAAGAGAAAAAAGGTATGAAAAGGTATGGGAAGGGCTCCTATACAAAGGATCGTTTTTTAAAGGGTCGCCCTGTTAAAGGATCGTCACGGGCAAAAAGTATTAAAGGGCCGTTCATTAAAGGATCGTCCATCAAAGGATCGTCAAGCGTAAAAACGTTCAAAGGGTCGTCATTTTTTTAAAAATTTCATAAAGCCAGTTCAGTGCCATCAGTTTGGTTGCAGTGATGTGCCAGTCTGATAATGGTGATTAAGAGGGATATCGGGGGATTTGAAAGGATTAAAGTGATTATTAATTTTTGCATCACAGGCAAAATTTCGAGATGGATATCCGCGGATTTGGAGTATCATATCCGTGCTCATCCGTATCCATCAAATAACATTATCCATATCCGTCCGTATCCGGATATATCCGTTGATATCCGGATATTATCCATATCCATGAGCTGGTCTGCATTCAGCTGATAAAAAATTAGTTGAAAAATATGAAGAAAATGGACCCTAAGCAAAAAAAAACGAAAAAAATCTCTAAAAAATATGGGACTCAAACGTCTTCTTTTGGGTGGGGACTCAAAAACGATCCTTTGAATTTTTTACCCGTGGCGATCCTTTGATGGACGATCCTTTGATGAGCGACCGTTTAATACTTTTTGCCCGTGACGATCCTTTAAACGTTTTTAGACGTTACGATCCTTTGAACGTTTTTAGCCGTGGCGATCCTTTTATGTGACGATCCTTTGTAGGGACACGATGGGAAGGGGATATAGGGAGTTGGGGAAAGGGGGAAAAGTTTGGACTAGAAATCTTCCCCTTATTACCCGTTACTTACTGCCAATTTGACCTTTCCCTCCACTTCTTCCTCTTTAGGATATTCTTGGTCTTTTTTTGGATGGGGGAAACATAGAGGGACCTAGTAAAGAGAAAAAAGGTTGCGACGGGATATGGGGATTTGGGGAAAGGGGGAAAAGTTAGGACTAGAAATCTTTCCCTAATTCCTGTTACTTTCCGCCTCCACCCCTCGGAAATATGCTCTTTTAATGGGAAGTACAGTCGGACCTTGAAAATTGTAGTTAAAATGAGAAAATTTAAAATTGGGCCTGGGTCAGACTGTAGCGGTAAACACGGAGCTATAGGGAAGTATCAAAAGAATCGTCAGTTTCCTGGGACGCCCCTGGGAGAGGAGGAGAAAGCAAAGGAAGTCTCATGATTCATTGTATCCTTCCCTCATTACACCTACTTTTCACATTAATATAATCGAATCCCGTATTTATCCCCAACTTTATGCAACAATCGTTTAGTAAAGCAGCTGGGCTATAGCTATTTCTCTCCTTTAGCTAGTGCAAAAGGTTATTCGGCGGCTGGGATCGAACCAGCATCTTCAGTAGACCGGACTGATGTGTTAGCCATTACACCACGCCGCCTACTGCTCACAAGGGAACATTCCGAACTGTGACCAAAATTTTTTCGATAAAAATTATACCATCGTGTAGAGCATGGTCGATAGCCTATCCCTATATATTTCTTTTTTGGCCCTGACCCCCATTTCGAAAAGTTATGGGGCTTCAAAGTTTTAGACTTTTGGAGCGGTTGAGTCGCCCCCACTTTTCTTATTATTTGTCTTCCTAAAGGGAAAAATAAGACTCCTTTTCTCCATTTTTCCTTTCCTTTTCTTTTCCCATGTTGGTTAAAGAAAGAGAACAAGAGGAGAGAAAAGGAAAAGAAAAGAGCATCTCTGCCTTGCGGCTAATTTCAATTAAAAAGGAAAGAGGAGGAGGCAGAGATGCCTCTTTTCCTTTTCTTTTCTCTCCTCTTTTTCTCTTTCTTTAACTAATATTGGAAAAGAAAAGGAAAGGAAAAATGGAGAAAAGGAGTCTTATTTTTCTCCTTAATAAAAGAAAATTCTCTCTTTATGAGGGCGACTCAACCGCTCCAAAAGTCTAAAACTTTGAAGCCCCATAACTTTTCGAAATGGGGGTCAGGGCCAAAAAAGAAATATATAGGGATAGGCTATCGACCATGCTCTACACGATGGTATAATTTTTATCGAAAAATTTTTGGTCACAGTTCGGAATGTTCCCTTGTCAGCCTTAGGAAATTAATAGCTATATGCTTTACAGTTTTAAAGTTGATTAGGTGGGAGGAAATCATTTCAATTTTAAATACACACCAGTTTTACAAGCTTTTTTTTATCAACTGAGACTAATAATTTTAATAATTTAACTAATAATAATAACTAAATTCAAAATCCTGCCAAATTAAAGCCCCCCGTTTCTCTCCTCTCGAATGATTGTATCCCCAAAATATTCCCTCTCTCCATCACTATTTTACATATTTTTCCCTCAAAAAAATATTTTTTTTCTATTCAATTTTATTTTTCCATATTTCCTTAAAAACGTTAACGCCGCCTGTCTATAACACAAAATCGCAATTTATTGATTACCCCCAAAAATAAAAATTTTTTTTTATTATTTTTGGTTGCGCGGGCATTGAATTATTTTGGAGGACGTTGAATGAAGTGAAGGGGGAATAGAGGAAGGAGAGTAGAGGGAATTATTTTAGTTTTGTTCAGGTTGTTGTATACAAAACAAATATAGTAAATTTTTTGTTGTTTTATTTGTCCTTTAATACAGTCAAATCTTGACTTTATTACATACAGCCTTAAGGTCTATAGGCAAAACTGAGGTTTACCTGCTTAATCCAAGTGAAGTTTTTACTTGTACCCGATGTTCGGGAGAAGAAAAGGCCCGAGAAACGGAGGTCGGGATAACCTCTGGAACGGGAGGCCAAAAACTCGGGAAAATTTCCCGATTCGGGAGTTGAAATACCCGAACATCACTCGTACCCTCATCCTCCCTTTTATCTATCTTCCATCTCTTATATTCTATACATAATTGTTAATATCTCCGGAAAAATACATATTCCGAGACTACATTTAAACAAAACCAAAATTTTAACTAATTAAAAAAATTTTTTAAGAGAAATATTTAATTAATCAATTTAAAAATTTTATTTTAATTAATTTTCAAAATTTTATTTATTTAAACAATGATTGGAGCATTAACTCCATATTTGAGTAAAATTAGAAGAAGGTAGTCTTTAATTTTTATAATCAGACCCCATTATAAGATACACCCAATACCAGATACTCTCTATTTAATATACCTCTATATAAGATACACCTCTATATGAGATAAACCTCTAAACAATATACCCTCTATTTAAGGACACCTCATTATAAGACACCCTCTATTTAATATACCCTCATTATAAGGTACATTTCTATCTGTCCTCAAGGGTTTATTTATAAGTAAGGGTTCAATTGTATTTTATTTTAAAATTTATTCAAGTTACCAATCAAATGACATAATTGACCGTCTCAATTATCAATATACAGCAATTATGCTCTCATTTGCAGCCATTACATTAGCGGCTACCCAATATGTTGGGAAACCTATACAGTGTTGGGTACCTCCAGAATTTACTGGGGCTTGGGAAAAGTTGGTGGATTTTTTAAAATTTTAAATTTGATAATTTGCGGACGTCCGCAAAAAAAATTGCGGAGAAACACGATAATATTTAATTAATTTTGAATTAAAACTTGAGCAACTTGAAGAAACCAGAAAATAAACTTAAAAGCAACTTTATATCTATCATGGATAAGTTTTCCGGATTCATTAAGTTGCTCAGGTTGTAATTAAAAATACAACTTTTCTAAGTTTGTATTTTTTGTTTCAAGTTTATTTTATTTTGAAAATTCTGATTTTAAAGTTTATTCTTTTTTAAACTTTGTTTTCAAGTTTATTAAAATAAACCTTTTAAAAAGTTTATTTAAAAATTCTGGTCTCACATTAAACTTAAATTCTGATTTTAATAAATTAAACCTTTTTTAAAGTTATATTTTTGTTTCAAGTTTATTTTATTTTAAAAATTCTGGTTTTAACTTTAAATTTAAGCTTATTTAATAATTCTGATTTTAAATAAACTTTAGGAAAGTTTATTTTTAATAAACTTCTGGTTTCAATAAAATAAACTATGTTCCTTTCAGATATGCAGAAACTTATTGTTTTGTGAAGGGAACATATTTTTTGCCTATGGATGATTTACATATTGACGATTCTTATGCTGCTAGAGAAAATATATTTATTGGATATTATCAATGGGTACTGGAAATAAAATTTAAAAATTACTAAAATAATTTCAAAAAGGTCCCCCTAGTTTTGGCTGCCCAAGCATTATTTTTCTATTTGCCTTCATTCCTCTGGAAGGCATTTAATTTCAATACAGGCATAAATGTCAAAAGTGTGTTAAATAGTGCTGCTTTAGTTAAAAAAAAGTTTGACAAAAATACAAGAAATGCTCAAGTTTGTAATTTTATTTATAAAAATAAACTTGATTTAAAGGTTGATAAAGCTGCTACGCATATATTGGAAGCATTAGAAATGCAAAGGGAACTTAAAACTTGTAAGGAGTTAAAAAATAAACTTTTTTAAATAAATAAACTTGAATTAAACATTCTTGAAAATTCTGGTTTTTAATAATTCTGGTTTCAAGTTTATTTATAAAATTCTGGTATAAGTTTTAGTAAATAAACTTGAATTCTGGTTTATTAAATAAACCTAAGTTTCTATAAAAATTCTGATTTTTAAGAATTCTGGTTTTTAATAATTCTGGTTTCAAATTTATTAAATAAACTTGAAGATAAACTTGAAATAAATCTTCTGATTCCAAGTTTATTTTTAAAATTCTGATTTTTAAAATTCTGATTTTTTAAATAAACTTTATTTTTCTTTTTCTCTCTTCCAACAATTGCAGCAACAACGGTATTTTTTATAAAACTTAATTTTTTCAACAATTCTTTTCAGTTACTTTCAAGCCTTGGAAAGCGTGCAGGAGTCTTCTTAACAGTTTTATATCTTTTCACTAAATTTCTCTACGTGGCTAATATTTTGTTGCAATTTTTAATTTTAAATGCCTTTTTAGGCCCTCAATATACTTATTGGGGGTTTGGAATATTAAAAGATATTTGGAATGGGAGGGAATGGAGTGAATCTGGACATTTCCCTAGGGTGACAATGTGTGATTTTAATGTTCGAGTTTTGGGGAATATACATAGATGGACTGTACAGTGTGTTTTGATGATTAATATGTAAGTGATTCAAGTTTAATTTAAAAATTCTGGTTTCCATTGAAAAAATTCTGGTTTCAATTTTAAGTTTATTTAAATGAATTCTGATTTTAAGTTTATTCTGATTTTAGGCTCGTTTATAAATTCTGGTTTTATTTTAAAAATTCTGATTTTAATTTTAAGTTTATTTGAACAAATTCTGATTTTACGTTTATTCTGGTTTTAGGCTTATTTATAAATTCTGGTTTTATCATTGAAATTCTGATTTTAAGTTTATTTAGAAAAAATTCTGATTTTAAGTTTATTCTAAAAATTCTGGTTTTATATTTTCTAATAATTCTGATTTTGTTTATTTGAAAAAATTCTGGTTTTTTAATAATCAGAATTATGTATTTACATAAATAAACTTAAATCAGAATTAAACTTTTTCTTTCACTTTTCCAGGTTTAACGAAAAAGTTTTTGTATTTTTCTGGTTCTGGTTTCTCTTTGTTGGAGTTCTCTCTCTACTAGGCTTATTTTACTGGTCTACAGCAACTATTCTTCCAGGCTGTAAACGTGCTTTTATAACAAAATATTTGCGTTGTATGGGGGTTATTGAACAGACTAGCAATGCTTTTGAGATACATTTAGTGAATAATTTTATAGATTTTCTACGTACTGATGGAGTTTTTCTGTTGAGAATGATTCAGGCAATTTTTAAAAAATAAATAAGGGGGGGGGGGGTAGAGACCGTCTAAAAGGATGGGGGGTAGAACGGAGAATAGACGGCCTGGAAAAATAATTTAAAAAAATGTTTTTCAGACAAATGGCGGAGATCTTCTTGTTGGAGAAATTATTACTTCACTTTTTGAGCGATACAAATCAAAGGTGAAATAAATTAAATAAGGGATTTTCTTGCTAATTATTTTTAAAATATTCTTGAGTAGAGACGAGACATTCAAAGGGATTTAAGAAATTTAATTCAAAATTTTTTTCAAAAAGGTCCTTCGTTTGAGACCTTTACGGACCAAATATGTAATCCCCAAGGACCGGTTTTGATCTCAATTTAAAATTATTTTAAGGAAGGGAGATTGAGTTGACTAGCATTTAAAACACTTATTTTAGGCGGTAGTTTAAGACATTAAAAGAGAAGGTGGGAGCTTCTGGCAGTTATTGCCAAACAGTTTTGCTCACCACGTAAAGGTTTGCTCTACCGACTGAGCTGTTTTTCACCTTTCCCTCTTAAATTCATTCACCGACTAATTAAGCTTTTTAAATGCTCGATTTCCCTTCCCCTTAAATTCCTCTCAACATTTTCAGGCAAATATTCATTCACCAACAAAAACTTTATCTCCCGGAGAAACTCCAGTTACAACGCTTTAAAGCCGAAAATAATTATATTTATATAATGCAAAATTCCCATCCTTCTAATATTTTTGTTTAGAAAAAAAGAAGCTTAAAATTAACTAATAGTTCTTGCCTAATAAACATTTTTCACTTGTTATTTTAAGGAAAATAAACGAAAAATTTTTGAAAAAATTATTAATTAATGTTCGCCTATTTTAAAATTCTTAAAATTAAAGTAACACCTCGTCTTCTGTTCCTAGTCCAAAATACTAGATAGGAAGAATTGAATATTAAATCGAATAATTTTTAGGGACACGCCCAAGTTGGCGCGCGGCCATAACGGCGCTTAGCCATAACTTTCTGTAAAATTTATGACCCTTATTAATTTCAGTACCAATTTCTTTATCTCGATCAGAGGAATCGTTTAATACTAAATCTGTTAAGATGCGGAAATCTTGAAGCTTTCAATTAAGTTATGACTTTGCGCCGTTATGGCCGCGCGCCTATTTGGACTGTACCCTAATTTCTGATACTTCAGATCACTTGAATTTTAGCATTTTCCTATCTTTAAATACGACATACCCGGATGCAACCCTAAGTGAAACCTTATCTACCTAATTATATAGAGTCGAGCCGACATTCGAAGGCAATCTTCAAGAGGTCATATTCAGGATCCTTTCTTATTACAAGTTCCTAAAAAACCTTGCAAAAAAGGAAAGGCCCTAAAAGCGCTTTAGTAACACTAAAATGAATTCTGTCCCTTCTATTAAAAAATACTCAACATTTCCAACAAAATTTCAAGAATATTTATGTACTAGAATAAAATTAAATTTATTAAATTACCAAAACAAAAAAATTCAACGTCTTGGAGAACGATTGTGATGCGAACTTTTGTATCTTTTTTCTCTAGGACTTCGACTCTTTGAACGTCTTCTTGTACTCTCCCTATTTCTATCCCTTTCATATTCCTTCCTTCCACCTCTTTCTTTACTATACCTTTCATCTCCCCGTTCTCGACTTCTTTCCCTTTTGCGCTCCTTGCTTCGATCACGCCTTCCACTGGAAGAAGAAGATTCTCTTTCCCCGCCACCCCTTCTTCGGTGATCACGATCTGATTCCTTACCTCGCTCCTTTTCTTTATTTGGAGAATGGCGGGAAGGCAAACTGACGACATCTTCCTAAAAAAAATTTTTTTTTATTTAAAAGTGGATACCTTTAGGAACAAGGGTGTGATTTTAATGAAATTCCAGGAGGGTGAGCTTTTTATGAAACTAGAATAAGAGCTAAGAATTGAAAGGCCCAGAGCCACAAAACGGGCAACATGTTGTCTGAAGGATATTAAGGCTTGGAGACTTAAGGACGTTTTATTACTAGTAAAATTAGGATTCATAAATCAAGTTTTTGATGACATTTTATTTGAAATCCATTCGCTTTGAGTCTTTTATTTAGAACCAAACTTCCTAATCCTTGCATTTCTAACCCCGAAAAAATCTTTCCCCACAAATTTTTACTAATGTTAAAAACCTTGGATGTTGAATTCGGCTCCTTTTTAATTTCCTTGCTTCTCTCATCTTTGGATTCCTCATCCTTGTTCTTTTCTATAAACTTTTTTAGCTTTTCCAATTTCTCATCTTGCGACAGTTCCAATTTTGTAGCACTAAAATTTAAATTTTATTAAATTAATTTTTTTCTAAAAAAATTTTTTTTCAAGTCATTTTCAAGTCAAAAAAGATCTTTTGTGTTTTTAAAATAATTTTAATACAATGAACAACCTCCTCGGTTGCGGGGCCAATGGTACCTTAAAAACCACAGAATTTTCTTCTGCTTTATTCAGTCCTTCCTCTATTGGCGGCTGTCCAATTTGTTCCAAATTTTTACAAATATTTTTGTTTGGAGAAGAATCTTCTCCATCAGTGCTTGATTCATCATCACCTTCATCATCTGGACGAATTAAAAAATTATTTTAGATATTTTAAAAAATAAAATAATTTTTGTTGACGAGAATTTTTTGCAAAATTTTTTAAATAAAAATTTTATTTCAGTTTAAAAATGAAAGACAATTTTGCGAGCGAAGAAAAAAATTTTTTTAATTCAAAGGGCCCAAGGGGCATCGAAAAAGTATTCCGATATATTTTAAAAAAGCCAAGAAAAAATCAAAAAAAATTTAAAAAGATTTTCCCAAAAATTAAAACAATTTCGAGGCCCCCGGGAAACAATGTTAAAGTTTGAAAGAGGAAAAAAATAAGCAAGCCGCAGAATTATGACCCGAAGAATAAGACCCGAAAAAATACCAAAAAAATAGAAAAACCCCATTAGAAACTAGGAAAGGGCCATAATTCCACAGGATTGCCTGTATGGAATATATGACACAATTCTTAAATTTTTTGGCCGCACAAATTACATATGATACATTTGATACGAAAAAAACATTTCTAAAAAGAATGAAATCGTATATTAATTAATTTAGAATATCCAACTGTAATTTGTGCGGTTAAATGCAATTTTGGACTTAAGTGTGACATATAATTTACACAACTAGAAAAACGAGAGCTTACCGAATAAAGAAGTCAATGCGGCAAGTGCCGAGCTTTTCGCAAGTAACTTTGGTTGTGCTAAACAAAATTGAAATACTTGAAAAAATTCCTAATAGTGTGTGAGGGTGGTGTTTTGATGAATAAACACAACAAAAATAAATAATAATCGCCAGAAAGTCCCAATTTTCCCAACCTTTATTCTTCTCTTTTGTAAGTTGTTCTTCAGCAATACGTTCAATTTCTCGATTTGTAACACTCAAGAGTACGCTAGTTATTAGACTTCTCATCAATGCAATCTGAAAAGAATAAAACAATTTAGCTTTATCATAAATAATGACATGTAAAAAACCTTACAATTAACCATGATATTGATCCCCTCCCTCCCTAAGAATATCTAAACTTGTTTAATCATAATTGGCATTTTTCAATCATTTTTGATTGAATTTGACTGAAGGGGTTCGAACCACTCTAACACTAGAAGAATGGGGGAGAAATAGCTAATGCACATAAATCTCTGCAAGAAATTTTTCTAGACTCCCAAAAATAAGCTCGCTAAAAATTTAAAATATACCGCTTCCTCTTTCAGCTCCTCCTCTGTTCGAGTATCCTCAATTTCTTCTTGGACAAATTCTCGAAATTGGCGCTTCTCTGGAATGATAGGAGAGTTCTTCCCATTTTGCTTTTTTACTTCACCATTGGAAGAACCATCCTCTTCTTCTTCGCTATCAGAATCCTAAAAAATCCAAAAATAAATTGAAAATAACTTTAAAAGAATACAAATTTCCCAAGCCCTTTCTCTTCCCTCTTTTTCCTTTTTTCTTCTTCCTCTTCCTTTTTGCGTTTTTCCAATTCTTCCTTTTCCTGTTTTTTCTTCTTTTCTTTTTCAGCTTTTTCCAACCCTTCCAGAATCCAATAAGGAAGTTTCTTACGCATTTGCATATCTTAAATAAATTTGAAAACAAAAAAGAAAACCTTAAAATACCAATAACAGGCATATAATTGGAATTATAAACTCCAGAAGCCCAAGGCTGATCAACCATCCAATGACTCATTGCACCTTCTGGTAAATTACTCGAGTCAGTTTCAGCCTGGGGTTGACGTTGAGAACATTCCGTAGAGTCATCTTGATCAAGTGAAGGGTCGTAATGGGCTTGATACTTAAACAAGAAATGGTAAATGTGGAGTTTATTGATTCCCTAGAAAAGATGAAAAGTGCTCTTTCGATATTCAACTTGTAAATTCGGGTCCAGGAAACGAAATAAAAATTCTAAGTAGAGATTCGGACTGAGCACACTTAATTGTCTAATGGCAAACCGGAAAAATATCTAAAAGGATTTTGTCCACATTCTTTCTGGGGACAAGTAAACTCCCAATTTACCCAAGATTCTATTAAAAAATCAAAGAAAAAACCTCTTCATCGTCATTCGATTGATTTTGCAAATTAGTTGGGTAAGATTCCGAAGACGATGTAAGTGCATTGAGTGGATAACGTGGCGGAGGATATCCCAAGTTTGGAGGAGGTGGTATCCATGGCTGTCTCCAATGATTAAGCGGAGGAGGCGGATGAGAAAAGTGTTGCTGATGATATTGCGGAGGACGTTCAAATTGATGATATGGCATGTGAGGACCAGCTGGATGACCTTAATTTTGAATAAGTATCGATAAAAGGATAAAAATTGGAACCATGAGGCGGATGAGCCGGTGGAATAAGTGGTGGAGGCGGCTGTTGTGGGAAAGGCCCAGGTGGTGGAGGAATGAAGGCCTGTTGCTGTTGTTGCATTTGATGTGAATAAATCCATCTTTGTGCTAGTTGGGCCCAATTGACTAGAAAATTTTTTATTAATAATTAATGAATTCAAAACAACCTTCAGTATTTGGTCTTGTAAAGTTTGAAGGCGTAAAATAATTTAGTTGATTGTTCATTCTATGGATTGCTCATTTTGTAATTAAGTTGCTAAAACTAAATACATTTAATAATCTGTAAAGTAAAAGATGGCGGTTCCTTGGAATTATCCGGATATACAGAAACGATATCCAAACCGAAGATTTCCGGATATCCGGGGTTTTTTCGGTTCCGAATACCCGGAACCGCCAACCTTACTTGCAGCTTAACTTATTTTATTTTTTGCCTAACATGAAAAATGAAAAACGATAAGCAAGGTTTGGTAATAGTGTCGTTTCCAGTCCCCATTTTTTTCTCCTCAATTTTTTGCCCTATGTTTGTACTAAATGGTCAAATTTTCCCTTTCTTTCATCAAATTTGCCTTTCCATATTTTGCCTCAAAACAATCAAAAAGATTAATTTTTTATTCAGTTCTTTCACAAGGAGAAACTCAAAGCATGAAAAATGTTTTCTGGCTATTATAGAAGGAAAAATAAGTGCGGCAAATTTGCCTTTCAATATCTTAGGCAAAATATGGAAAGGCAAATTTGATGAAAGAAAGGGGAAAATTTGACCATTCCGTACAAACATAGGGTAAAAAATTGGGGAGGAAAAATGGGGACTGGAAACGACACTATTACCCAAGGTTTTAAAAATAAAACTTTTGGCGTAATTTGTGGCGTATTCATATTATTTTTCTCTAACCACTCTCGTCAGTTTTCATTCGGAGCAGTTCAACTGAGTCCGCACGATTGAGTCCCCACGATTGAGTCCGCACGATTGAGTCCCCACGATTGAGTCCCGTAGTGAACGACAAATCAACGTTTTCGTTGATTCGCGGCGAATATCAACAATTATTCGCGAACAACTTTTTTTAAATACATAACGCCAGAACAACGTTAATATCAACGTTTTGCGCCAAACAACTGCGAATCAACGTTTTTGTATCTTTTTTTCTCTGCTCTGCCATTATATTTCTCTTCTTTTTTTCTGTTAATTTTCGTTCGTGTAGTCTCTCCTTTGGAATTTGCAATTTTCCATTTTTATAAATGTTCAGTCCCTTTTCTGTAATTTTTAGGGATTTTTCCACATATATTCTTACTAGATGGATGAATTTGAAAATGAATTAAGAGTCGCATTCGAAAGCGGCGATCTCGAAGAACCTGTGACACCGTCATCGAAACGTCGAAAATCCGATATCGTAAAGGGATTAGATCTAGGAAGTCCGAAGAGTAGGCGATCATGGAATGAAAGTAAAATATTCGGAAGGTATTAGTAAAACATTCAATAAATTTTATTAGTTATTTTAAGTCATTTCGATTGTGTCATAGACGATAAAGAAAATTTAACGAATCTTGTGGTCTGTAAAAAGTGCAATTCGATATTCAATTACGCAGGCACACATAATTTGAGGTATTTTTATTATTTAGCTGAGATTTATTTATTTTTTTAAGAAATCATATTGAATCGAAACATGGAATTCAATTACCAGCTAAAGAAAAACAAAAGATGATGGAGGATGCTCTTGTTGAATTTTGTGTTACAGATGCTCGACCGTTCTCTTTAATTAATGGAAAAGGTTTTATTAGTTTCCTAGATGCTTATTCTGAATTGATGTAAGTTTCCCAAAATGAATATTATTAATTTAATTTATAGAATTGACAGACACTTAAAAAACCAAACTACAACGTCGAGCCTCATCTTACCTAATGAAAAAACCATAAGTCGAAAGGTGTTCGAGGTGCTAAAATCTAAGCAACCAGAACTTAATTCAATTTTTAATGAAATGAGCGAATCTGGGTTTTCTATTTCGCTCGATTTTTCTCAGAAGTTGGGTACTGATTATTGCGTCATGGTGGCACACTACATAACAAAAGACTGGTAATTGTTTAGCATATTTATATAATGAATTTTATTAATTTAATTAAGGATTTTGAGACATTTTGTACTTTCGTGTCTTCCAATTCCAGGAGACATTTCCAAAACCAGAGAAAATATATCTGATTTAGTCAACAAAAATCTTACCTATCTTGGGCTTGACATGTCAAAAATCGTTTTTATTACTGATGAGGGATCCAATGTAAATCACCTTGGAGGAGAAAAACACCACAGATGTATTGCTCACATTCTTGCAACAATATCACGCCATATAACTCAGCCTTATGCAGGCGACCAAGCAACTGACAATGTTATAGCAGTAGAATCTGCGATTACTGATTTACATTCATTTGTTTCTGATTTGAGGTTTTTTAATTATCTTTTTTCTATTTTTTTCAAACAAGGCGTATTACACCAATACGTCAAGCTCTTAGAGGTGTTTTACTGTTGCCAATTGCAACACGTTGGCTTTCAATCTTAGCTATGGTCAGGGCCTTTTCTGCAGCAGATAAAGAATCATTTAAAGAAATTGTTAACAAATATTCTGGCAATCAATACACGGAGAGAATGGAACGAATTTTTTCCAAGCAAAATTTTTTTGAAGCTTATATTCAAATTGTTTCAATGTTGGAAGCACCTTTGAAAATACTTGAGGTAAAAAATAATATTGAAATTTAGAAAATTTAAATTTTAGGCCGAAAATAAATGTACAATGAACAGACTAATGATAGAAATGATCAAATTGGAAAATGCTTGGAGAGGAGAAGCAAGAGGAGATGATTTGATCAGAGCAGCGTTAGCCAAAAGTGGATTGAAAGCCTTTAACAGGAAGATGAGTGAAATTTTCATTGAAAATACGGAAAGTATTTCTATCATCAGATGTGCTGCTTACCTTGATCCTGCTGTTTGTGGAATTCTTAAGAAAGTGTGTCAAACGAATTGTCATTGGGGTGACTATGAAACGGTTTTTATTTAGATTTTAATATTGACTTATTAAATTTTAGATACAAAAAGCCGTTAGAAATGTTGCAAAACAAAACTTTCCGGAATGTTTACGCCCACACGTGGAAAACGGTTTTTATTTTATCCAGAATAAGTTTAATAGAAAATTTAGTTTCACCAAGTCTAGTTACCTTTGGCCAAAATGCAATGAGGACTGAGATAGACTTTGAGATGGAACAGTATGAAACTGGATGTAAGAATTTGGGAGGACATAAGCTAGATTTGCTTAAATTTTGGAAAGAAAATTCAATGAAAATTCCACACCTTTCATCCATTTCTAAGCATTTTTTAGCAATTCCTTCTTCTTCTACTTCTTGTGAACGCATATTTTCCCGTTTTTCTCCTTTAGTATATGATTATAAACGAAATCGTTTTGATCCGCATACTATTTCCACACTTATTTAATTACAATCATTATTTAAAGATGAATAAAATTTTGTTGTTTTATATTGTAAGGCCGGGTTCATCCTGGAATCACGTGAACAATAATGTTGCTCTAAACTTTGTGCTAAGTAACGGAAGTTCCCAGAGAAAAGGCAAAGAACGCCACAAACGGCCATTCCCAGAGAGTTATTAGCCGCTCATTATCTAAGCTTAACATCGCCACTAACTTATCCTTGGGAAAGCAATAAGGAAGTAGGCTGGTGCATATAAGCTCTAATGGAATAGGCAAAGGCGGATCACTTCTTCATTCATTCAACAGAGTTGCCGGCCGGCCAATCCATCCTTGTAGGGAAGAGCTCTCCCTATATTCCCCCACTGCGTGCGATTCACCTATTTCTATACTCTGCGGAGTTCACACATGTCTGCAGCATGCGCGACTTTGCTTATAACATCAACTAACTATCGAGGCACTGGGGAACGGGACCAACCGCTTTACTATATATTTTTTCAATTTTAATAAAAAAAATTCTACTCGTAAAATTCTTTAAAATTCCAAAGGAGAGACTACTCGACCGAAAATTAACAGAAAAAAGGAGAGAAATATAACGGCAGACCAGAGAAAAAAAGATACAAAAACGTTGATTCGCAGTTGTTTGGCGCAAAACGTTGATATTAACGTTGTTCTGGCGTTATGTATTTTAAAAAAAGTTGTTCGCGAATAATTGTTGATATTATTAAATCAACTTTTTTTTCTTAAGAAAACGTTGATTTGTCGTTCCCTAGAGTCCCGGCACAATTGAGTCCCCACGATTGAGTCCGCACGATTGAGTCCCCCTTGTATATACCTCAATTGAGTCCCCGTGGATTTAATAAGTTTAAAATTTCCATATCCGGCATGCGGGATTATTCCAAAATTTCTATTTTTTAAAATATAAATGCCGGACAGACCACCTGTGCACCCCTGCTGCACCCCACATACCCTCCGTAGCAGCACAAAACAGTTTTCCAGCGCAGATTCAGTTGGTCATAACTTTGTTCAGAATCATTGAATCAAGCTGATTTTGATGTCATTCGACTCAGCTTGTCGAGCCCTTTCGAATGAGGTATAATTTAATATTCGAATTTTTTGTCCCCAAAAATTCCCCCGTGGATTTGACCATTTCGAGCCCCATATCTCGGCGAGAACCATGTTGATTTTTGTGTCATTCGACTCAGCTCATTCGAATGAGCTGTCATTCAAAAAATCTCTCGATATCCCTCCTAATCCCCAAATCCACAATATCCACAATATCCACCCATATCCCCCTTAATCGCTTAAATCTACTTATATCTCTTAATATTCACCGATATCCAACTTGATCCCTCGATGTCACATACAGGTCCCCTTGATGTTCACTTTAATCCCCCCAAATCCCCAGATATCCCTCTTAATCCTTTTTAATATAATTAAATCTACGGGGACTCAATTGAGGTATATGTATACAAGGGGGACTCAATCGTGCGGACTCAATCGTGGGGACTCAATCGTGGGGACTCAATCGTGCGGACTCAATCGTGGGGACTCAATCGTGCGGACTCAATTGAGGTGTACCGGTTTTCATTATCTCTTCCATTCTAGAATTTTCATTTGGCCATTACGACAAAATGTAGTGATAATGTCAAGCAAGAAAGCTCAAAAGTTCAAGCTTTCAAAGACACAACAAGGCAAAGTTCAACTTAGACAATTTGTTCCACACAAAAATAAGTAAAATCATTTTTTTAAAGCCTCAAAAAGCACTGAAACCCATGTAACAAGCGGGAACATCATTACTGTAAGGCAGCTGGGCTACAGCTAGTTTTCTCTTTTAGCTAGTGCAAAAGGTGAAGCGAACCATCATCTTCAGTAGACCGGACTGATCTGTTAGCCATTACACCACGCCTGAGAAATTAAATAGCTGTATCCTTTACATTACCCTCATATCTTAATTTAATTATTAATTCATTAAATTCTAGATTGTCAAGTCAATCATCGTTTCAATTAAATGCCAAGGAGAAATCTGAATTCTCAAGTGGTTATGTTATTTCTGTGCACAAACCTTGGCCAGATCTTCAATTAAATCAAAGCAAATTGTTCTTTGAATGTACTCTTTTTCTTTATTCTGTTCTAGCCTTGTTTTTGCAATACTTGAATCTCTACAAGACTTTATGGTGGCTTCCCAAAAGTTATTGGCATTATTCTTTGGTATTCTTTTTAATTTTCGGTTTCGCTAGGCAAGAATTCACGTTATTGGGAAGGTGTCCTTGACAGAAAGAAGGTATTTAATGGATAAAAGAGAGAGGGCATTTCTCTCCCGAACTTCCGGGAAGGGACCTACTGAATAAAATTTATTGTTTTAATAAGTTCAGAGGAACTTTTGATAAGTTCCCTTTCCTTTCATTTAAATCAATTTTATTTAAAAAAAATTTCAGAAATACCATCTTATAAATCCTTATTTGTTGTCTTGCATTGGTCTTCTGTTGGGTGTGCGTGTTACAAAATGTTTTTGGGATGCGGTTTGTTTTATTTTTTAAATGCGAAGTTTGTTGAATTTAACTTTGAAGGGGTTTTTTATTTTCTCTGTTCTAACCGTGAAATTATGGGCATTTTCTTGTATTAGACCCTGTTTTTAGTATGTTTAAGTCAAAACTAGTATTAAAATTAAGAATCCAAATCACTTTTTAATTTAGTTAAGTGAAAGAGTTGATTACTTATGTGATGGTCAAAATGGATGGCAACTTACTTATTGGAAAATATTCGAATATGCAATTGTTAAAACTCCTCTAACAACGATTGTTTGCACCAGTTTTTTGTTCAGTTTTACTAAAATTTATTTGGAATTTGGATTGAAAGCGCCTATATATTTCTTCTTGCCGTTAGTTTATTTTTTTTTAATTTTTAAAATGAAAAATTTATAGTTTGCTAGTTTATGTTTTACTTTTCCACAATTTGACTTTGAACGAGTTTGTTGCTTCTTTTAATTCAATTTTGGTTAAATTACAGTCTGACAATTTTTCTAAATTTGTGGAGGAATTTTCTAATTTGATCAAAAAATTATTTACTGGACCTCAACCTTTATTGAATCTGGAAACGACAACTCATTTATGCTCTGAGATATCAGGTTTTATAAAACTTTTGGTTCCTTGTCTCCTTAAGGCTCAAGTGTTTTCTAGGGGATTTGGGAATAATTGTTAAAAAATTTGTTTTGGGTGTTTTTGTTTTGCTGCCTTTGGGGTGGTTTTTTTCTTTTTCCATGAAATTTTATTTTCCACTCAATGTATCGCTTGTCCTCAGTCGTTTTAGACCTATACATCTTTTCATTCACTTAAAAAAATTTTTTTTTAATTTTCAGCCCGAACAAGAGAAGAAGCATCTATTTTATTCAAAGATTTTGAAAATAGATGTAAATATTGTGTTTATACGGGCATTTTAACTGCTTATTTTTCGATTTTTATGCCGAGAGCTCTTTTACCGGTTTGCTTTATTTTTTGAGAATTAGTCCAAATTTTTTTCGTTTTAGACTAGAACTGCTTCAGGATTTACTCAATATATGTTAATTGATGATATTTGGACTTTGCAACTTTTTTCAATTATTGGATTTACTGGATTTTCTCTTTACGTCACATATTTGTTCCCAATCAGTTATTTTGACTTATTATATCGTTGTGTTGTTCATTTGGGTTTCTGGGAGCAAATTCAGCCACCAATCCAACAACAACAACATATTTCGAGTAATTCAGGGTTTGGACGAAATTCGAAGACAACACATAATTTCCATGAAGTTTTTGAAGATTTTAATCCGTTAGTTTAATTTTTAAATATTTACTAGAGGGAATTTATGACGGTTTTTTCGGTCCATATCAGGGATAGGACTGGTTACACGAACTCTGGTCTTTTTTCAATCCAATTTATTGTTATTGGGTAACCAACTTTGTGTAACTAAAGAAGATGAAATTTATATTCAAACACTTTAGGCTGAATTCGAATGTTTAACTGACCCGACGGACCGAAACCCGTATCTTTTTCCCGATCCGAAATTTTAAGAAAATTTTGAAAACCTAGGTAAATTGATAACTTCTGCTCTAAAACTAAAAAAAGCCCTTCTCAATCCTGCTCATCTCTGATCAAAATCCGTCAAGCAAAACTTTCAAGTTCTACTCTTATTTCTGAAACGCTACATTTCCCTAAATTTAAGATTTCTTTATTTTTAGAGACAATCCACCTTATGAAGACGGTACCAGAGTAGTCCACAACAACAATTTTTACATTGCACGAAGCCATCCACATTTTAGAACAGTCACTGCTGAACCAAATAATGAAGAACAAAGAAGATTTTATGTAAATTTTTAAATTAAAAATTTTTTCAAATTTTATTTTTTTTAGAAAATTGCAAAAGATCCAGTCAAATTGGTTACTTATTTATGTATTTCTCAAAGTTCAATGGTGGCCTTTGAATTTTGGCTTTTATTATTGACTAGTGATTGGCAACAAATTGTTACTTTGGTGTTACTAATGTTTGCAAATTATTTACTTTTGGCAAAAATGTTTAAAGATAGAGTGGTTATTGGAAGGATATATAAACCTTCTTCTGAAGATTTACAACTTATAAAAAGATTACAAGAAGAAATGGATGCAAAAAATGATGTTGGATTAAAACTGGATTGATAGAATGAGTTTTTTTATTTTGTATATGCTGGGACATCGTTTAGACAGAAAAATTTTTGGGTGGGTGGGAGGGTTAGGAATCCTATTTTACCCAAATCTTAAAATAAATGTTGTTAAACTGTTCAAAGACATTTTAGCACCCAGTTATTGTAATGGAGCCCTGCTCGTTTGTCATTATTAAGTTTCCAATAGCAACTAAATTTTTCAGAAAATTTTTAATTATTAAAGATTCAAAGCAAACGTCCTTTTTATACTCTTTAGGAAGATGGGGCTTTTCTGGCCTATTTCTCTCACTCATTTTACCAAAAAGCCATTGAAATCAAAATCTTCTATTGTTGACAATTTTTGCCCTACTCTTTGAAAGGCCATAAAGTCCTTTAAGATCAAAAATTTAGTACTTTAATGCCAGACTACCAGTTTTGTTTAATTGGATGGCTGTACTAATCGTATCTCGAGATTTTTGGAGGAAAAGCTTTCTGCGTTGTTTTGGTTGATTTAAAGCTTGCAGAAATTGGACTTTAGCCAATTCATGAGAGAGCTCGCTCATTTGAGCGGATGTTTGCTGAATTCTTTCGATGAGGAATGTTTCCGCTCTCTCCGGCCGCATCATTTTAGCCTTTGCCAGTTGAAAATAAAAAGATTAATGTTTGAAAAGGGCCAAAAGTATGCGCCCGGAGCGAGCTTGCACCTGGTTTTAATAGTGTTAATGAGAGAGAAAGCCTTTGGACGAAGCTGAACAAATTTTAACCTCATCCATTCAACAATCTTCACGAGAAGTTCCAGAGCTGATTTTGGCTCTAGCGAAAAACCAGCTTGCACGTGGCCTGAACAGTGTTAACGAAAGAAAAGTCTACTTAAAGAAGGTATTAGAACATGTTGATCGAGCTTTAAAAATTGAGAAAAACGGAGAAGGCCTGGTTGTCAAGTTAGTTTTGAATACTTGCAAATAAAATTAAAATTCTGCCCTACTAAAACTTGGGAAAATCCTGCAAAACCCCCCTTTATTTGCAAGTATTCAAAACTAACTTGACAACCAGGCCTTCTCCGTTTTTCTCAATTTTTAAAGCTCGATCAACATGTTCTAATACCTTCTTTAAGTAGACTTTTCTTTCGTTAACACTGTTCAGGCCACGTGCAAGCTGGTTTTTCGCTAGAGCCAAAATCAGCTCTGGAACTTCTCGTGAAGATTGTTGAATGGATGAGGTTAAAATTTGTTCAGCTTCGTCCAAGGGCTTTTTCTCTCTTTAACACTATTAAGACCAGGTGCAAGCCCGCTTCTGGCGCATACTTTTGGCCTTTTTCAAACATTAATCTTTTTATTTTCAACTGGCAAAGGCTAAAATGATGCGGCCGGAGAGAGCGGAAACATTCTTCATCGAAAGAATTCAGCAATCATCCGCTCAAATGAGCGAGCTCTCTCGTGAATTGGCTAAAGTTTAATTTCTGCAAGCTTTAAATCAACCAAAGCAACGCAGAAAGCCTTTTCTCCAAAAATCTCGAGATACGATTAGTACGGCCATCCTTCTGCCATTAAAGTATGTAAATTTTGGACTTTTAAAGGACTTTTATGGACTTTCGAAGCCTTATATAAATTCAATCATTTTTATAACTAAATAAACTCCAACAAACGCGTTACTTGCGTCAAGTTTCACCCTTGCGTTGGTTATTAGTAAATTTGTTCAAAGTTTACGCAGCCCAATCACTAAGCAAATATAGGTAAATTTTTAGACTCTCTTCAATGTTCCAGAAAGTACCATAAATTTAACTTATAACTCATTTTTAAATTATCACATTTTTATTTTTTAAATAATTATATTATCAATAAAAGTTCTTTTAAAATTCTTTTATTTCTTTATTGTTGCTATCAATTTATTTTATTTTTGATTCTAAAATAAATTTTTCATGTGATCATTTTAGCATTTTTCTATGTTCAATAGCAAAATATTAATTGATATGCTCGGCGCTAAAGTTCGTGTTGATTTTGTAAAAGAAGCAAAATGTCCGCCTGCTTTTGGAAATTTGTATACTTGGGATCCTGAAAGCCATTCTTTGGTTATTGCAAGATTTGAGACTAAAGGTTTTTTTAAATTAATTTTGAAGGTTATTGTTTAATTTTCTGGGTTCCAAAAGGTGGGTAATAAGGTTTTTTGGAATCTTTTACGTTGTTATGTCGATTCAAAAATTGTTTACCTTCCAAAACGGGTCTGCCATGCAATTGAAAAAAAAAGATTCCGCTACTCGCGATTTTCTTTTTAGAATCCGCAACTCGCAATTGCAAAACATCCACAATTTGCAACGCGCAAATGCATGCAGCCCTTTTCCAAAATCCTATAATTTTTTAATGTTCCTTAGAATTTTGCCTAGAAAAATATGCCGACTAAAACAAATTAATTTTTGCAGATCAAAAAGAACCATCAGATATAATATTTATTCCCGGTACTTCTGTTCAAAATTTTGAGGTTTTAGAAGATGAAGGAGAACAAAATAATCAAATATCAACAACAAATAATGAAGAAACAAAAACCTTTGCGGGATTGAAAAATACTGAAGAAATGAAAGCAAAAATGGATAATTTATTTTTTCCTACAAAGATTGCTGCAGGAATGGATAATTGTTCGGAACAAATGCATTTTGGCGAGTTGGCTATGAATGATGAGGAGAAATGGGAAAATGAGCGGTTCCTTCTTAAAATTTTTAGAAAATTTTCTGGATAAAAGTTGAGGTCGTGCAAGGGGTCAGAAATTTTTTTCTGAGTTAGCAAGAAATCGGTATTACCCTTCAAAAAAATTTTTGGCTACGTCCTTGCTGCCCCCTCCTTAGACACAATTTCCATCTCTCCTCACCATTTATTTCCCTTTTGTAGGACAATCTCCAAGAAAATAAAAATATTCGAAGACTTCGTTCAGGGCAAAAAGAAGCGGTTGATCGATGCATTGAACAGGAATGGAATCGAATTCAGAGAGGAAGGAGGAGAAGAAGAAATGACAGAAAAAGGGGACAAAAATGGAGACGAAAATTGGTTAACAAAAAATTCAAAAACAAAAAGAAGAAAAGGAACAATAATTGTCGGTAGTGGTGTTGATTGTGTTACGATTTTGCCGCCGTATGAAAAGGTTGTTAATTCAGGGTTTTTAGGGGGGGGGTGTGGATTTGTAGTGGAAGGGTTCTCTAATTATTGGAGAACTTCTGAAGGAGCTAGCAAGGGCGTGTTAGGGAGTAAAAATGAAAGGAAAAAATGCCCCGCACACTCAATGTTGGCCCCCTCTCGAAACCCACCCTTTTATAGTAAGGAATTTTGTCGATAAATTTTTTTTTGCTATATTTAAGAAGAGTGTTATACTGTTTAAAATAAATTGTATTTTTTAAGGGAAACTTGATTGGAAATTCAATTGTTGTTAAGCGTTTGGTGTTGGCACTCGCAGCGGATAGAGTTTTTGATGATCCGGCTCAAAAAGATCATTTTGTTGGGAATTGAATAGAAGAGGGAAAACAAGAGGAATATAACGGTTATATTTGATAATTATTTTTTTGTTAATTGTATAACACATTTTATTTTCTTTTAATATTTTTTTTGGATGATTTGATTTCATGGAATATATTTTTGATTTAATAAAATTTATTTATTTTTTATACGGGAATATTTTCCCTTTGTAATGTCTATAATTTTGCTTTATTTTAATTTACTGTTGGTTCTTTCTTTTATGAAAGGTTTGATTTTTTCATTAGTTTGTGTTTTGGAGGTAAGCCTAATTCTGACTTTTGATATTTCCGATTTTTGAAGATTTAATATTTCCGATTTCTGAGTTCTGGCGTTGGGATGGTGCCGTTTGTCGATAACGGCTGTCTCGATTTTTCTCATATTTGTTTAGTGATTGTTCGTGGAAATTTCATTCCCCGAATTTCATTTTTGAAAATATAAAATTAGTAAGAGTATTTGTAGAGAGCGGTCTTGTCATCTAACATTTTTATACCTTCCGTTTTTATTATAAAAAATTTTATCGGGCTCTGTCCTTTCGAACAAAATAAATTTTTTATAATTTTTAAAAATTTATTTTTTAGAAATTTTATGATTTTTCCTTCTACAATTTGTCGTTTAATTCAATCCTCATTCAAATATTGTTCTCGAATGGCTACTTCTGTTAATAAAATTCTCTGCCCTCCAACTTCTGTCAGAGGAATGATGGAACTAGAAAAAGACAAATTCAGGTTTTTTAAAAATTTTCTTTAAGAATTGTCTTAAAATAAATATCCGCTTAAATTTTTCATGCCATTAAGAGGGGAGTGGACCAAGGCCAAAAGTTCAGTCCGACTATTATTGAACCAGACGGCCAGGTCCTTTCCCTTGCAAGTTACCTTTATAACTGTTAATAAATTCAAAAAAGAAAGAGATTCTTGATTTTTGCGGGTCGCACTCTACAATCGGGTTTGACCAACCTGCGGTGATCAACGGCTCAACCCGCGAATAGTTGATAAAAATTCTTTTTTTATTTTTTAAAGTAAATTAATCGTGTTTCCTTCAATTAAAATTCCAACAAAATTAGTCAACCGAATTGTTGGCCTCCCACTTTTCAATAAATACAGACTTGAATGTTTGCCTCGACTAAAGGTTTTTTGCTTCAAAATTTTTTTAAATTTTTTTAGACTTTTAGAAATACTGAAAGTGAAAATTTTAAAAGACTTTTATTTGACCCAGATAAATTAGTTGAAGTTGAAGAAGAAGAAAAAGAAGAAATAATTGGACAAATTGAGAAACAAATTAATTCAAAAGTTGAATTTGAAAAGTTTTGTTATTTAATGGAATATGAAGATTGGACTACTAAAAATTGTTTAAAAGCTATTTTGCCTGAAAATGTTGAATTTAGTGGATTTGAACAGTGTGGACATATTATACATTTAAATTTGAGGGAAAAATTGTTACCTTTTCGTTTTGTTATTGGAAGGATTTTGTTGGATAAAATTCAAAGGACAAGGTTTTTTTAAAGTTTTTGTGGTTATTCTAAGGGTTTTTTTGGAGGATAAGGGGTATTGAAAAGAATTAAAGTGCTTTTTTAAATTTATTTAAAATAAAATAAATTTTATCACCATTCAACTGATTTCAGATCCGAGGGATATCCGAGGTTTCTATTAGGGTAGGACAACGCCGGTTAACCGCCCGGTTAATTTTTCCCTTTAGCGGGTCTTTTTTCTCTTACTATTTTCTCTTCTCATTTTGCCCCACTACAAGGAAAAATTAACTGGTCGGTTAACCGGCTTTGTCCTACCCTAGTTTTTATGATCTTCAGATTATTGCTGACAATGAACCTGGTGTGCCTAAATTGAGTCCGAATTCCTATAACTTGATACCAAGAACATTAAAAAATGACCATCCCTTCATGAGTTATAGAGCCAAACTCGACTGAACTGCTCCCTGAAGGGCCGGGGTTTTTCTACCAAATTCGGTTCGGTTCTTTTGCTAAATCAGGAAAGTCAAGCTGAATTAAAAAAAATATTTTTGGCCAGGATTTGTTTTTATTAAATATTTTCAGAACAGTAATAAACAAATTGGACTCTCTAACGCATGATTATCGAATAATGGATGTTGAATTGTTGGCTGGCGATGCTGATTATGCAACTGAAGTGACAGAAAATGGAATTCGTTACAAACTTGATTATTCTAAGGTTTTTTGGAGTTCATAAAAATATAATTTTAGTAATGGAGGGAAGGATTCAGCTGGTATATATGTAGACATAAGCGAAGGATAAGATTTAGAAAAATTCAGTAGTGAATCTGTGTCAGTAGCAGCGGTGGGTCGGAATTCCGAGTTCCGACTTTTGAACCAGTTCCGATTTCCGGCTCTTCTGATTTCAGACTCACACGATGAGCTATGCTCCTAGAAATACATAACACAATATTATTCCAGTTCACCTCCTGCTCGTTCCTAACTTTTGCTTTCTCTTATTTAAAAACTTTCTCATTAAGAAACTTAATTTTTGATTTTTCCATTAATTTTCTAATCATTAAAGGTATTTTGGAATAGTAGACTAATCACAGTCCATTCAAAAACAGTCGAACAATTTGATCAAAATTCTGTTGTTTTTGATGTTTTTTGTGGTATTGGACCTTTCATTTTGCCTGCTGTAAAAATTAAAAATGTTATTAAAGCTTATGGAAATGATTTAAATCCGGATGCTATTGATTTTTTAAAACAAAATGCTAAATTGAATAAGGTTTTTTAATTTTTATTTTAAAATATTTTTGGGGTAAAATTCTTTCTCTAACTTGTTAGAAGGGGTAAAATATCAGGGTTGGCGTTCATCTCGCATCTCGTGAAATCTCGTGTCTTTTAGTGGTCTCATATTTCGTGTCTTGTATTTTGTGGGACTAGCGCGACCCCTGGTAAATATACTCTCGGTTTCACAGTTGTAAATTATTTCGGGAACATCCATTTTTATTAGAGATCGGACAAAAGACGAAAGCTAGAAAAAACTTAGTTAATGAGACGATATTTTTCGAGATATCATGTGCTATTCTCGTACTACAACACTTCTAGTCCGGTTTCTGGTTATTATTTAACAGGATTTATTTTTCCGTAGTTTCATAAGGGAATATTGTCTACAATTTACAAAAATTTGGTATTATTTTTGGTATTACTCAAACATTTGAATGACCTCATCTTGTCAGTAAACAATGTTCCCTTGTTTTAATTCTTTTCCTGAAAGGGTTCCTGGAAATTATTTTTCAGAATTCCTCCCTTCTTTTTATTTTTCTTTCCTCGTTTTGTGAAAAATATTTTTAAGGTTGTTTTTCAAATTCATTTTCTTCTTGGAAAAATGTTTCATAATGGTTCAAAAAATTTTTTCTAATTAAATTGAGTTTGTTTAAAATTCTTTTTTCTCTTTTAAAGATTTCTGAAGACAAAATTGAAGGATTTGTTTTAACTGGAGCCGAATTTATTCAAAAAATAATTCCAGAAAAAATTTATTTTCATTGTAAAGAATTGGAAAAAGAAGAAAAATTGACAAAATTTGTATTTCATGTTGTGATGAATTTACCTGGATATTCTGCTGAACATTTGCCCTATTTTTGTGGGTTTCTTTCAAAATTTGAGGAAATTAGGTTTTTTTTTAAAATTTTTTAAATTCCCCTAAATTTTTTAATTTTAAAGGAATTTATTCGAAAATAATTCTCTTTCAATTTTGGTTCATTGCCATTTCTTTGTGAAGGGAAACGATGACGTTCCAATGAGTTGGTATGATAAAGAAGCAAAAAAAATTGTTTGTGAAAAGATGGGGATGGAAGATGTAGAAATTAAGGTTTTCTTTTTAAAATTTAAAAAATAAAAAATTTTTTTGATGAAATTTTCCTCTGTTGATATTCCTCCGCAAAATTTTCGTTAAGGCATTTGTGCATCAAATCATCAATTTGCTGTTACGTTCCCTGACATCTTAGAGATTACTTGGTTTAGGACCATTATTGATTTAAAATTTTATAGGTGATTTGGGGCTTTTGAATTTTCTGAAGCGAATTTCCTGAATATTGGATGTGCGCCAAAATTTTGCGTTTTATTACGGACTCAAATTTTTTCGAACCTTTATTTTTATTTTTTTTTGAAAAATTTCCCTTTTTCGATCATTCTTCCAATTTTTCCCCCATTTCGTGGGGGGGGGGGGGAGCTTCAGCCTTTCCTGTCTACGCCCTTGGAGTCGACTATATTAACAGGAATTTACATAATTAAGTTCCCAAGGGGTATTGGAATTACTCATCTCTTGGTGATTTATGGAAATTTTTGTGAAGAAAAATCGAAAATATAAGCGATAATTTTATCAAGTTTTTTTTAAATAGGAATTATTCTTCAATCGAAAAGTTTCTACAAGAAAAAACATGTATTGTGCAAGGATAGTTCTCCCGTGTAAATATACTTTTGATAAAAATAAAGAAATTGGAGAGAAATTAATAGAAGAAAATTTTGTAGAAAATGGAATTAAAAATGAAGATGAATTAAAAATTAAAAGAAGAAAAATTGTTTAAAATTTTTATTTTTTTAGAAAGAAAGTTTGTTTTTTATTAAATTTTAATAAAATATACAAATTCCTTTAAAATTAGAAAAATATTCTAAGACTTTCTTACAAGAGTTTTTGAAATTTAAAAGTTCCCGATTCTAAAAGAAATCAAAAATTATAGCCTAAATTCAAACTTTTTTTTACAAAGTTTATTCAATTTTGTTTGAATATTTGGTGCGTTTTTTAGGCTTTTGATGCATATTAGGGACCAAAATTCCCTATTAGGGTTGTTTGCTGGGTTTTATCGGGGGTCGATGTGGGACATTGAGGCTTTGACCTAGAAAAAATGAGAAATGGGCTTGCTATGCTAACAAATGTTGGGTGGCCCCCTAATTTTGTATTTTCTTCGTTGAAGGTTAGAGAGAGAGCTTTTAACAATTGGACATGAAGAGACATATACTTGGATAAAACTGGACTTTGCTTCGCTTTTTAATA